GGGTGGGTGGGTGTGAGTAAGGGTGGCTACTGGCTATAAAGCTAGAAAGGAGATCACAAGAACAGAAAAAGATGTTGAGGAGGGGTAGCTTCTGAGAGTGGGAGGGTATTAGGAGGATGCGAGGGAAATAAATGAGAAGAAAAGAGAAAGGACATACAATGATTTCATTTGTAAATGCCATAATTAATCCTAGTACTTTATATACTAACTTGAAAATTAAGTAAATAAGTAATATAAAGAGTGTAAGGAGGAGAAGAAGCAGGCAGTGAACAGATAGTGACTTGAAGTTGATCAAGACGGGCATTTCAAATGCATGGAGTTCTGAGTGAGACACACAAATATCAGAACAAGAGAAAATGACCAATATAAAGTCTTCAGATGAAATGTGTAGGATGTGGAGCAGGCAGCTTTGGATTTTACTGTGTGGAACAGGGATCCATTTGGAGCACTCTGCCTTGTACAAAAGACATATGTGATCAAAATATATTTAAAGAAAAGATAAAAGTTCTGCTTTAAAAAAAAAAAACATGATTGGCAGAAGCTGGGTCCTCTCTATGAAGATCATGAAGCTACATCCCTAGTTGTCATGATACTCCAGGGACCAGAGATGGTTGGGGTAGAAAAACCACTGTGATGGTCAGCTTTAATTGTCAATCTGGCACAACCTAGAATCACTTGAGAAGAGAAACTCAATAAGGGACTGTCTGCACTATGTTGCCCTTTGAGGGATTATCTTAATTAAGTTCATTGACATGGAGGGGGTGGATCCAGCCCACCATGGGTGACACCATTCCCTAGGCAGGGAGTTCTGGGCAGTAGGAGAGTGGAGAAATCAAGCTGGGCATGAGTAAGTGAGCAGGTGTACATACACCTCTATCTCATGTGATATGATTAGTTCTTTGAAGTTTCTGCCTTGACTTCCCTACAGTGGTAGACTATAAACTGAGATTGTGAGCTGAAAATAAACACTTCACCCCCTAAGTTACTTTTTGGCTATGATATTTTATCACAGCAACACAAAGGAATCTGGGGAAGAACTCAACAGAAATGAAACTAGGAAAATCACCAAAAAGATAGAACAAGTTGACTGTCCAAGGGGCTAATCAATGAATTATACAGCCAGGACTGAATGGGTAGAAAAGAGGGACCAATGGGGATTAAAGCTCCAGCTGCTTCTCATCAGGAAGAAAGCAAGGATGGGAAATTTACATTCAGATTTTGCTCGTGGAGAACAATTGTGGAGACAAATCTGAAGTTAGATGTAGGAGTTTCCAATCTAAGACATAGCATTGGCTAAAAATGGGTCCATCGCCTCTCAGAAGCTGCATCTAAAGGATGATATAATTTGTGGATGTACAAGAAAAACTGTTCAAAGAGAAGGTTCATGGCTTTCACAAGGTTCAGTGCATTTCAACAATATATTATTGTTTTAACATTTATGAAATTGTTATTTTTCCTTTAACTCAATTTAATTTTATTTGGTACCTATTCACAGAAACACAGAGGTTTCTATGGCTACAATCTTCTATGGGTAGATAAGATATAATCATAAACTTGGGACAAAATGAACTATCGATTTGTTTCTGACCTTTGGACCAATACAGAAACTGTTGTTTCTCAGAAATCAATGTGAAGTCTACAAAGAAAGTTGTGATAAGAGTTACCAAGTAAAAGATTTATCCCTTAGCATTGGTAAAATACCTCTTACTTGGTGTAACAGTTGCATACCAGCATTTTAAAAACAAGCAGTAGGAGGATCAGAAAGACTGTGGTTAGGAGCGCTCCCTGCTCTTGCAGAGGACATTACCATTCCCAGGACCCACCCACGTAGTGGCTCCTGTCTGTAACTCCAGTTTCAGGGTATCTGACTCCCAGCCACTTTGGACATCCTTGAGCATCACCAGGCACACTTGTGACGCACAGATGTTCATACAGGCAAAATATCCAAGCACAGAAAAGAAAATAATAATAAATTTTGAAATTAAAAATTATGAAATATAAAAGCAAGTAATGTCATGGGTTTTACATTTTAAAATGTGAGAGGAATTTACAAAGAAAAAAGCAAATCCATTTGACTAGTATAACAATCATGACAACTCAAAATGGGTGGAACCAAGCTGAGCCTGAAAGGCTCGGATTGCAAATGAGTTTTGGAGTCAGTCCGCTGTCATGCACTCTAGACATCTGCCCCTTCAGAACTGTGTACCCTTGGGGACTTGATTTCTTATGGGTTTGTGTCTCCATCTAGTTGTTGGCACAGTGACATGAAATAATACATGCAAGATATTTAGAATGTTATAGGGCATGTGATTAATACTCTAGGAGTGACTTCATTTCCATTGATTCCTTTTCTTGTGACTAGCATTACCTGGACAGAGAACTGCTTTACTTACACAAGACAGTTACAGCTGCCACCCCCAGTCACAGCTGTCACCCCTAGTCACAGCTGTCTTTACAAACAAATATACTCATGGGGGATACTAGGAGATGCTTAAGTACTCATACTTTCTAAAGACTTCTTTGTAGTTCATTCAGAAATCAAAGAAAATTTATTAAAATGTTTATTATGTGTACATGTATATATACATATGTGTATGTGTGTATGTGTGGATGCATGGATGGACACATACATGGAGGTCAGAGTGCAATTTGAAAGACTCAGTTATTTTCACTATAAGGGTCTGAATAACATACACTGGTCATCAGACTAGACAACAAATGTCCTTACCCACTGAACCATCTCACTGGCTCCTCAAACAAAGGTTTTACCTGAGACCCTTCCTCCCCTGCTGTTTCAATATACATCAGAATATTCACTGTTTAGGTGAATTCTCATGGATCCTGGTAAAATGGACAGTAAATAAACAGGAATGACTTTGATTGTAACATTTCATGGGCTATCAATAAAAAGGTTATTTTAAAATTCCTCTTTGCTCTCTTTTTCAGGGAGTCCAAATCACAATTGGATTGATGCACATTGGCTTTGGAGTTGTTCTCGGGTTGCTGAGCACCTCTTACTATATGAGTTGGGCATTTTCCTCTATTGCTTTTGTTGGTGGATATCCATTCTGGGGTGGAGTCTTTGTGAGTAGATTGCTAGAACACCTCTCCCTGTGCAGGATGGATGTCCCCAGTCTGTTCACAGCAAGGTCCTTGAAAAGTTGTGTCTAGTGGCTAGAGAGTTTTTAAAAATAACGGCTCTGATAGAGCAGAAGAAAGGGGGCCCATCACTCCCCAATTCAGACTTAACTCTACTGCAGCTTAAATTCATTCCTAATGCAGAACCAGTGTGATGGATGGAGGGCCTTGAAAGGGGATGATCTAAAACATGGCAAAGATAGACCATTGACAAAGATGAGGCCGAGAATAAGATGAAGTAGAGCAGGAGGCTCAGCCATGCAAACAAACTCGAAGTCATCTGTTATCGAGTTCTTTACATGTAAGGAAACGAGGGTGGGGAATTAGAGATTTGTCCTCAAAAGTTAATCTAAAGAAAAATACTGAAGTGTGTGAGGGAAACAAGCAAACATAACTAGACCAACCTCTTGTACAAAGAGACATTCCCAGGCGCAAGCAGGGAACCTGCCATTCACAGATTTGTCTATGCCTACAGTTCATTGCTTCTGGCTCACTCTCCATATCAGCGTTCAAGAAGTTCTCTCACTGTCTGGTAAGTTAGAAAACGTATTTCTGCTTCTTAAATTCCTTTAAAGATTGGTTTGATTTACTAGCAAGGGAAACCTGAGATGGTAGATTGGAAGAGTGTGGGTGGAAGGAAGTTCTTTCTCAAAATATCTGCCAGCTGCTGGGTAGTGCCTGCACTGGAGCAAGGGATCAGAGCATTCCTTCTGCTGCTGGGAAAGGCAGAGCACAACATTCAGCTCTTAAAAGCACAAAAGTGGGAATCAGTAAAAGTAAGTGTTGTTTATGTTTTCACCCGCTGGCTCCTTGGTTCTGTTGGATCACATAGCATTCAGGAAAAAACAAGGAAGAATCTAGGAGCCAATAAACCACCACCTATGAGCCACTTCAATAACAAAGTCCTGGTGTTCACTGCCATTCCTCAGCTCCATCTTGTATTTTCACTTTTCACTGGTGTGCAACTCCTGTTCTTACTCAGACTGTCTCTGTTGTCAGTTCTTTAAATTGACATGAGAGGGACCAGTTCAGAGCATAAGAAAAGCACACAGAAATGACCATAGAGACTGACTGGGCTTTGATTCTCCCAGTCACAGTACGCCCCTTGTTGTAATTTCCTAGTTTAATGGCAAACCAGGAGAAAGATTTTTTTTTTGCATAAACCTAGATCGGAAACGGTCTCAAAATTATATGAGGTTGTGCACAAGAACAAAGGCGGGGGAGATGTAAACATGGAACCATATTTTTCATGCTCTTGAGTTAAACAGTGGATTACGCCAGAATCAAAATCAGCTTAGTCTGATCAGTTCCATCTACTGTAACCCAAAGCAAAACAGAGCTTCCTTCTCTATACAGGTCCCACCCCTCAGAGGCTGTATAGAAAGAGACTCTACCTTGTGGGATTGTACAACTAGATAGGAATGTATAAAGTCAGATACTAGGACCATCTCATGTGTGGTAGCTGTAAGAGTTAAAAATTACAACATTTTAAATATATAACAAAGTATCTATCGCAGAATGCCAATTAAAAGTCTGTTCTTGAAGCTGAAAAGATGAGCCTTTAGTTAAGAGCAGATTAAGTTTTCTTCTAGAGGACCAGTGTTTCATTGCCACCACTCACACAGTGACTCATGATCTCTGTAGTTCCTAGGGGAGAGGATTTGATGCTTTTTTCTGGCTTCCTTGGGCAAATGTTCATGGTACACAGACATGCATGCAGGTAAAACTCCCAGATAAAAAATAAAATCAAATAAATTTAAAAAATAAAAATAAAAAAACAAACAAAATTTGTTCTTTTATTGTTTTTACAAAGTAGACTTGTTTTTTTTCCAATTTTTACTTTAAATTTTTCATAAAATATATTTTGAATATTTTCTCTTCCCTCTGCCAACTCCTCCCAGATCTTTCCAACCTCCCTACCCATCCAACTTTGTGTTCTTTCTGTCTTTAGAGAGAGGAGGGGGGGATACCAAGATCTTCCCCATGGATCCTCAGCCTTGAGAAGAGGTTGATGAAGGTGTCCCACGCAGGACTGAGTGCTCCAAAATCTCTCACTCTCTACACACTTTCCAGTTGTGTAGTAGAGATGTTTATTGTAAACAAACAAAGCTGTTACATAAGTGTTGGATGGCATTCTGCTTCCAATTACGTTTATATTTTTTTTATATTTCTATTATTTAAAATATTTACAGCTTCTTAGGAGGGGAACCTGAGAGCTAGGATACAGTGTAATTTTCACAACTACTCAGAAGGGCAGAAGAAAGACATTATCTCAACTTCGAATATTATTCCATGCTAAAGATATAGGCCAGTGGTAAAGCACTTGCCTAGGATGCATCAGACCTTGAGTTCAATCCTCAGTACAATCAAAACTAAAACAAGATGTCAAAGATTAAGAACTATTAACTTGGAAAGAGTCCCACTCCCTTTCGATTCATTTGTCTTTTATATGGATTACTATTCTTGTTACCTCTGTTAGGTGAAGAGCACCCTGATAACAAACATTTTTAGCACCGTCTCTTCCTTTGTTGGAGTGATTCTGTTTCTGTTTGATCTGAACATCAATGGCCACCATTATCAAAACTACTGGATGGTGGTAAGTGTCCTGCCATTGGCCACATGACTGTTCTCTCTTCACTGCCAGATTACATCCATTGCTGTCGCCTATTAATTATTCAGTGGCTCTGTTGAGAAAATTCTATTTCCAACCCTACTCCTAGGGATGTGATTGCTAAGATACAAAGTGAAAAAATATATTTGCAGATAAATGAGGTCAGAACGACCACCCCATAGCCATCACAGGAGCAATGGATAGAGCTCAAATTTTCATTTTTTAAGGCAGAAATAACATTAAACATTTTACCTTTTCTTTAAAAAGAAGAAGCATGGACAGGTGGATATATGTGACTTTAAGGTCAGGCTAATTTACATAGTGAGTTCAAGGATAGCCAGCAGCACATAGTAAGACTCTGTATCAAAAGATAATATTTTATTACATAATTAAACATCATGGAGATATTAGACAAAAGAAAGCAAAAAAAGCCATGTCTACCTAAGATTTCTTGCCAAAGTGACTATTTTCTCTTGACAATATTTAATGTTGTGAAAAACAAGTAAGTTTGAAGTTTGACACCTATATTTGTCTGTTTCCATGAAGAAGCTGAAATAGTTAAAAACAAGGATAATATAGTTAAGTTATCTATCAATAGAATTCATTTCCTTCAGTAGAATTAAAGTCAAAAATAAAAACATTTCCATTCTAGTTCGTTCCTCCTGTTGCAGGACACGTGAATAAACTTCACACTCATAGCCACTACATGAACCTCACTGAGAAACTGTTGTGTGTTCTCTTAAACCATGAGACAAACTAAGTCCTTCCTCAGTCATTTCTGTAAGGCATTTTGTCACATAATTGAGAAATCTACTAACATAATAGGCATCTGCAACATGGGGCACAGCCTCTGAAAGCCTTAACAAGGGCTTCATAGCCTCCTGAGTAAGATTTCCCTCGGTCCACAGTGAGAACAAGAGCTGTGTATATAGTGAAGCAGCAGTGCCTTCTCTAGTGACACTGTCCTTTTCTGCACTTTGAAAGTCTACATAATTACAATAGCAATGTCTTAAGTGGCTTTTTTATAATGAAAACAGGAAGATTGTCTGTACGCAATCACCTCCTGATTGTTTCTCTACTGTCATCAAATGCTTATTTTGGAGAAATACAAACTTCTTTTGATTTTTTTTCTTTAAAATATCAGAAGACTTTTCCTTTCAGCAAATAGACTATTTAGGAATAATGGAATATAAGTGCTTTTTTTCTTGGTAACAGTCTCCTTGTTGTTATAAGAAGAAATGTCATTCACAGAGTGAGTTGAACGTTAGCAAGATAGCACTTTCAATGAATCAGGTGTTTCTGAAGTCCACCCTGAGACCCTCCCGTTCAGCCTAACTAACGGTCTATGTATTTATGATTTCAGCTTTCTGGGAGAGGAATTGCAGGTGTGTTGGCAATATTTTCCTTGTTGGAATTCAGCATAGCGTGGGCCACGGTCTACTTTGCATACCAAACTATCCTCTATGGCAAAAGAGTAAGTTGGTTCTCTTCTTTGTAAAACTAATCTGAATACATACTGGAGAAGTGTGGGCTCGAGTGTTTGCCAGACCCCACTGTGAGCTGACTACTGAGCTCTCTGTCCTCCACTCTGCTGGGACAGAGGAGAATGACTGGACTGTGTAACAACTCTGCTTGTTTTCTCTTACCCTTTCTAGTCTGTCCCGGATGCTCCAAATGTGTATACAGCCAACCCCTTGATGCAAGAGTCTTCCCCAGCCTCTCCTATATATGACAACATTCCAGATTATGCTCCCAGGCAATAACAGGCAGAAAGAATCACTGGTACAATTTCATGTAGTAAACCTCTGAAAAATTTTTTTCTTACAAAGCTGTTATTTTGCTGCCCACAGTGTAAATCTATTTAGTGCCTATATTTGGAATTTGCTCCTAGGCTCATAGCTAACAGTCACTGGATTTTCAACCAGTACCTTTCAGCCAACTGCTTACCATTACTGCCATAGAGGAAGGACAAGAGGGCTGAACACTAACTCTGCAGTGTTCTTAGCATTAGAAACCTTCTATTCTCATTATCTTTTTTCACAATAAAATGTCATGGGGAACATAAGCCTCTTTGGGTATCTTTTTGCATTTGTTAGGGTCTGATATTGGTTGGATGAAGTACATCTGACAGACACCAACAAGGTTGATATTTTTACAAGGTGAAGATTTTTATAGTGTCCAGTCACTGGAATTCCTGGGTCATCTTCCCCATATTCTGTTCAGAAACCACAGATCCAATCATGTTTGTTGGGGCCCACATCATTTATACATCAATATTGTTGCCAACTAGTTGATTGATATTTATATATTTTATTAATTTTCTATTTTATAAATTACCATACACAGTATTAAGTATCTTAAAAGTAACTTTTATTCGCCTGTTATAATTGTTGCCTCAGAGGCTTATTACTGAATAAGCTTACCCTTTCTAGTTCTTTCTAAACTTTAGCTGGCTGGTTCAACTCAGCTAGCTGTTCTGGCCCAAACTCCTCTCCAAGCTAACTCATTCAAACTGGCTTCTCTCAGCTTCTGACTGAATTGCTGTGCTTGGCCTCAGACTAACTCTGGCAGTCTGTTCTAATCTACTGATTTGTTCTGTCTTCACCTGCAACCTTTCTCTGTAAAACTGCCCCAATAGAACTGCCTCTCCTGACCTGCATGGAACTGCACGAACTCACAAACAAACTGAACTCCACTGCACTCTACTCAGAAATGTACCGTACCTAACCACATTCCACTGAACTGCCTCTCTCCCTCTCTCTACACAGCTCTCTCAAGTCACCTTTCCTTCCTTTGCTGTTCTCATGAGAGCCGGTTATATCCTATCTCTGATTCATTCAGTCAAATCTTTCTCTGATGTGTCACTTTGTCTTCCCTTCAATTAGATGTCACTTTCAAACCAAAATGGCTGCTTCCTTCTATAAACTAACCTTACTTTCATTGTTTAGGATTAAAGGTGTGTATTAAGAGTGTATCTATATTCCAGCCAGATCATATTGTAATCCATAGCATGCCTGCATTCCAGCCAGATTATATAGACCTAGAAGGTATTTGGATGTAATCCCTTGCCAGAGCAGCCATGTTACTGGGTTAAAATTTCTCTACAAATATCACTATGGAATTAAGAGAATTGTTTTTAATACATCTTTAAAATATAATTATATATCTTTCCCTTTTTTTACTACAGCCCCTCCTAGGTCGCCTCCATTTAACTTTTCCCATGTCCCCTCCCACTCTCAAATGGATAGCCTCTTTTGTATTACTGTTGTTACATATAGATGTATATGTATCTATACATACATACACACAAATACATATATATATACATATATACACATACATACATACATACATATATAAATACATAACAGCAACCTGCTTAGTCTTATTTGGTTATTTGTGTGCATATATGGTTTCAGGACTGATCACTTTGTATGGCTAATCAATTATGGGGTTCATCAATGAGAAAAGCTAATTCTTTGTCTACGAGTAGGACCTCATCAGATTTCCCCACTTTCATACTAACATGTCAGTTAATACTGCTACTGTTCCCATCTTGTTTATGTAGCCATGGTACCACTGCACAAGCTGCTAAGAGAGGGAAGCACTTAATAGTCCTACCCAACTGTGACAATTATGCACCACAACAATGGCAAGATATCCATAAAGGAGAAGTAAATGGCACTGACTGTTGGTGGTAATCCACAGCTGCCTAACTGGACTTAGCCCCATTCATAGGAGACTTATTCATGGATTTTAGAAGAGAATTGACTACTATCACTTTACAAGACCAGCATAATTCCTAACCACATTCTAAATTGTATGCTTATACTCACCAAGTAGCTACCACCCCTCATCAAGGAAACTTATCTTTGCAGCAAGTGGAGACCATCACAAAGAACCACACCTGAGCACAGTGTAGAGATCAATGGATCCTGGGTGTTCTCAAGCCCAGTGGATACACCTTTATTACAGACTCTATGGCTCTGAGAACAAGGTAGAAGAGGGAGTGGTAGGATTGTTAAGAGCCACAATACCAGGAAGCCGCTGTGAAACAGTCTCTCAACGTGGCATTTTGGACAAAGGATGTTTTAATAGAGTTGCCTTCTCCCTCCCCTTCTCCCACTACCCTTGACTCCTTGTGAGCTCTTCAGTCTCTTTGCCTCTTTGTGTCTGTCCCATGTGCCTCTTTGCCTGCATCCATCCTGCCTCATCACTACTCTCTCTCCTTTCTTGGTCTCTACTAATCTGCCCAAATCCTGAGCTTCCCTTACTCTATGCAGATAGAGGCCATGGAAAAGCAAAGGATGGCTTCTTCAACACAGGAAATTCTGGGTCTTTGATTGCCAAAGGGCAGTGGACTGGACTATTTGCTCTAGAGACTTATCCTTAGTACTGAAAAATAGAGGAATATGGATCCAAGGGAATGGACTTACAGCTCTAGGTACCCAAGCCAGGGCTTTATGGCTCTGGGTCTCCAGTGTCAATAACCCCATACTTAGTGACCAGCACTCAATGGCTCTCAGCAGCCACTAATGTTGACACTAATGGGCAAAGAACCAGTGTTTTGGCTTTCAGATACTGAAATTCCTAATAGCATCTATCATTATAGCTCTTGGACCTTGGAGATCAGAACCTTGGCCCTTTATGGCTTGTGACCTCCCTGGACCTCTTCCAGCAACTGGGGAGGTCTCTTATAATCTTTAACTCTTCACAGCCTTCCATAGTCCTGGTTTCCAAGTTCTTTTTGCTTTCTTCCACCATCCTGTGTCATCCCAGTGGCCTTAGTTCCCTCCTGTTTCTGCCTCTGGTTACTCCCTGTAACTCTTCAACTGTGTTCTCTACTATGGCCCCACCTCTTTGTGTTATCAGCTCAGCATGCTCTACTCATGATAAAGATCACAAGTGGACAAGGAAAGATCATTCTAACAGAAACTGCTTTATGGGGTTTACTGTTACAAAACAAGGGTATGGCACACGAGAGTACCCTTGGGCTAACTTGAAAAGTGAGCCAAATATCTTAGTATTATATCAAGAAGAGTGGTGTGACATGCAAATGAAGCAATGTAACTTCCACCAATCACTGTCCAGCTTCCACTTTCACTAGTTACAGGACTGGAGGCATCAATTAAGGCCCATCATGCTTAAGGAAAAACAGCTGCTGGGAGTACAGAGTGATCAGGGTTACCAAAAGGGCACTCTTGTCTTTTCTTGAGTGATGCTTTCTTCATGACTGGAGCCAGAAAAACAGGAATCATGGCTTCAATACAATGTTCCTTGCAGGTGGAGTAGTGTATCCTCAAAGTGTCATTAGAGCATTCAAGTGCAAGAGGAGTCCCTAACACATAGGGTACTCATCATCAGAAGAGAGGTTGTTGATTGACAGCTCTCTACCAGAGGTGCTTAACACAAGGGAAGGGTCTGACAAAGGTCAGACCCTTAGTCAGTTTCAGACTAGCTGGAACCAGAGACTACACTTGTTTAAAGAAAATTGTGTGCCAGCAGCTGTTTACAAGGACTTGTCACTAACATCCTTGACAGTGGTTAATAGTGCTTAACTCTGTCCAAATAGCCTTAAGGGGGAGGTAGGTCACTCTGTCTGTATCACCATCAGCAAACATGTTGCCTATCGTATAGATCTACAAAAGTTTTCTCATTACAAAATATTTTCATAGACATTAAAATGATTTTCAATAAAACAGCAGAAGGGTAAGCACGATGAATAAATTGTTTGTTGTTTATTTGTTTTTTAATTTTGGTTTGGGTTTTTGTTTTTCTAATGGGGGTAGAAGCTGACATGTTTTATAGTCTGTAGTTACAATCCAGGTAAGAGTGAATGGATTTATGCAAGTTTATATTTTCAGGCCAAAGGCTTAGATGGAGGACATAGGCTAAGCCTTGAACGTAGGCAGTCTTGTGTGTGTGTGTGTGTGTGTGTGTGTGTGTGTGTGTGTGTGTGTTTGTGTGTGTCTGCACACACATGGATGTGCGTGTGTATTTAAAATTAATTCTTTGAGAATATAGTGTGTTTTGACCATATTCATTGTCCCTCCCCCAATTCTTCCCAGATCCGTATCACCCTACTTGGTGCACTTTTGTTCCTATCCAGGCCGACTGCTGCCTGAATATTCCTGGGTGTGGTCATCCACTGGAGCATCAGGGCTACGCTCTTAAAGAAAACTGACTCTTCCTCTCCCAACAGCTAGGAAATGCCAGTTGCTCATAGATTAGGACATCGCTTCAGAGAAGTTTCTGTAGGCAGTAAATGGTGGCTAATATGGAGGCCTACGACCAGCTAAGCTGCAGAGAATAAGAGACTGCAGAATGTTCAGCCATAAATAGAACATATATGCCACACCCCCTCCAAAGGTTCAGGAATCATTGTGGAAGAGGAGGCAGAAAGAATGTAGACGCAGAGGTGGTGAATGACTACAAAAGTAGGTTCTCTACACCGGAGAATGAAAGGATGATGCAGTTGCTACAAGTAGCCACATGGTGGCAGTAAGGAGGCTTTCAATATGATGGCTTCTGTCATCTTTGTCAGAAAAGTAAAGTCAGTCCCAAGATAGAAGGCATGGATAGAACCAGAATGTTGAACTATTAGATGCGGTAAGGTTTAAAAGCCATGAGTGCTTAGAATAAATTGGTATATATACCAAGGGATAATTCTAGGCTCCACTGAGGGCATATTTGAGGGGAAGGGAAGAGTGTACAGATTCACAGTTCAAAAAGCTAGGCTTGAGTGCTAATGTGAGGGTACTGAGAATGT